TCTCGTGCCGCTGTCTGGCGATGACGTTGAACCCCTCGATTTGTTTATGCTGAGAAATTTTTGAGAACAAAAAAAAACAAAAGAAAGAAAATCGCAACGAAAGCTTTCGTTAACGTAGAAAAAAACCTGCCTGTTTTTAACATTCATGCACTCGTTCGAGGAAATGACACATTCATTGGAATGTGATTTGATTGAAATTTTGCAAAGAGCCAATGAAAATTCTTGCTGTTAGAAATTCTGAAATATAGGCAATTGTTGGAGTATATATTTGGCCGAAAAAAGGAAAATAAAAGCGTTTTGTTTATTTAGAAAATAATTTCCATTTTATATGAAGTGAGTGAAAACATGCATAATGATTGGTTTATATTGCGTCTTTATAGGGTAAGTGTACCAGTAGTCGGCACTTTTAGGATTTTCGCGTTTTTAATCGCTCACCATTCTGAGTGGACCTTTTCAATTATTACAAAGTTAATTTATTCAGATTCGAAATTTTGTATAGTTTTTGCAATAATAAATAAAGTTTTAATAACTTTTTATTAAATTTCATAAATTTGTAGTTTTATTAAAACAATGCCTTTTTGCCAGTAGTCGGCACCACTTGCCAATTGGCGGTATGGCATGTTCCAAGAGTCGGCAAACCAAATTTTTTGTAAGAATAATTAATAATAATAATAAATTGATTCATTAAAATATAATATTTTTGTATAGATAAACTGATTCGACGTCTTTATTGTACTTTTCTTAAGAATATGGATTGTTGAGGACCTTCACAGACAAAAATTTAATTTTTATTAGAATAAATCATCTTTTCTTAGCGAAATTGTACACAAAGATAGCTGACAATATACTTGAAGTAAACAAAATACATTTAGTTATAATAGTTTCATTTATTTGGGCTTAAACATAAAAAGTGCCGACTACTGGGACATGCCGAACTTAGGCACACTTACCCTACGTATGCATATCAAAAAAAGTTTTGGAAATGCTTGGAAAATTGTAAGGAATTATTTATGAGTCATGATGATCCATTGACCACATCTAAAACATTCGAATTCCACTAAGGGGAAATAAGTCGTTTACTGAGGTATTTCAAAGAAAATACCTGGCTACGCTAAGGTGTTTGAGAATTTAGAAAGTACTACTTTCTCCCCAATCTTGAATCGTTATGTGTGGGCGCCAGTCGTGTACAGAAATCTACAACAAGTCAAATATTACATATCAGCTTGAAGGGGGCCGTACGATATTACGAATTTTAAAGTTTTAATTTATTTTACCTTAATAGGTAGCTGTTGGTTAGCGGAGGTTTTTCAAAATTCGTTAAAATTTACTAAAAACTGTGTTTTTGGATTAAAACTGCACACTTTTAGCATCTAGCTTCGGCATATAGATCACTATTAATATAAGATATTAAAAGAAGTAAAAATTCTGAAATTCACAATAGAAAAGGAGGAGTAACCGGATGCTCATTTCAGATTCTATGAGCGTTTTATTATTCAAAATTTTGATTCCATTCACGTCCATCTTCGCACCTGACATAGCACTAATAGAAATATTTAGATTTGCAAAGTTTGCACCAACGAATAAAAGGAAAATGTTTACCTTTTACGCCAAAAGTCTTCAAAATCTTTCATTTTAAAGTTTACACTCAACACATGTGGCACTTTCCGTACGTTCATATTGCGTATTTCCAAAACCACCTCTTTCTCTCAACAACAGACACCAAACGTGACATCCACATCTGGCTTCCTGATTTCTGCTCTATCCCATCACCAATAATCAATAGGGTAAGTGCGCCTAAGTTCGGCATGTCCCAGGAGTCGGCAGTTTTGACATTTAAACTTAAATAACTAGAAATGGAATTGACCAAATAATGAAATAATTGCAAAAAAAAAAAACGTCAACAGTGTTCTCTGCTCTCTTTCTGTAAAAAAAACAATGACCTCCGATCATTTATTACGAGAGAATAACGGTTTTTGTCAGTGAGTGTCTTCCAACGCGTGCGAGAGTGCTTGTTTGTAAAGAAAAAATTAGTGATGGCGTCAACTTAATAATCGATTTAAGTAAATTAAATTTAATACTTTTGGAATCAGAAATATTTTATAATAGTAAATAACAGTCTAAAGATCATTTTATAACTTAAAAAACATACATAATCAAGCATTTTTCTCTTATATTATTTAATGCCGACATTAGGAACAGAAAGAAAGTGATTTGCCAGTAGTCGGCACCCCTGCCCCCTTTACTAGAAAAATATCATTTTTGACCTAATCCACCAAAACTTGAGAAAATTATTAAAAAAATTCAAAAAATTACTCAAATAAAAAAAAATAGTTTTGAGTCGACAGTTGCTTTTATTTGTGCTTTTTGACCAACTTTTCTAAATTAAGTAAGTTTTTTAAATCAGCTATTTGACGTTTTAGATAGCGGTGGCATTTAAAAAAAAATGTTGGTTATCTAAAGGAAAAGTATTCACAAATTCCAAACATAAGAAAGGTACTTTTTTTATTTAATCTCATTTTTATTTTAATTCAAAATCCATACTATTCTTGATTTTCTACCTATATTTGGTTTAGAATGATAATTAAATAAAACACTTTTTAAAAACGAAATTAGTTAATTAAACTGTGAATTAGTATTACAGCATTGTTTTATACTTTTTGAAATAAAAAATATACAAAATAATATTTTTTTTCAATGAAATAGCATATGCAGACTACTGGCATTAGAAAATGGTGCCGACTACTGGCAAAAAACTACTATATTGGTAAAATTGAAAATTTCGCCAATTTAATAAAAACAAATTCAATTGTTGTAAATTATTTCAAAAACTAAACAAAATATGGAATCTGAAAAAAAATTACTTTTCGGGAATTGAAAAATTTCACTCAGAATGTCGAAAGATTGAAATATTGAAAAGCCTAAAAGTGCCGACTACTGGTACACTTACCCTACCAAATTTAGTTGCATTAAGTTCTTTTCGAACAGTTAATGTACGCAATTTTTAAACAATCCCCATATCTCACCTTCAGATATCAACAGTGACCTCAATATCAAATTTCAGTTCTTTAATTTTCTCCATTACAAAATACAGTTCCAAAGAGTACAGCTATCGTACTCATTTCCAAATCCAGCTCCTTTTCTTAACCACTTACGACAACAGCGAAATCTACATCAAATTTTAGAGTTTCAGCTCTATTCCTTCACATAATACTAAATTTAGTACATTTCGTCAACGTTTATAAAAACACCTCCATATCTTAACCACATACGACAACAGAGAAATCCATATCAAATTTCAGGACTTCAGCTCTTAAATTTGCCCACTACCAAATTCCAAAGGTAGCTCCTTCTCTCAAACACATACATCAACAGTAACATCCGTATCAAATTTCATGATCTCAGCTCTATTCCTTCATCCAATACCAAAATTAGTGCTATTTAGTACTTTTGTACAATTATATCTCAATCTCAACTCTATTCCATCTTACTTACCCAGTACCAAATTTAGTACCATTTACTACTTTTCGTACAATTATAGTACACATTTTCAAAACCACCTCCATATCTCAATTCCAGATACCAACAGAGGCCTTAATATCACATTTAAGGATTCCTGCCCTATCCCTTCACCCAATATCAAAATTTAGTACCATTTAGTATTTTACGTGCAATTTAGTACGCATATCCGAAACCACCTCCATATGTCTAGACACTTTACCTTCCCCCAATACCAAATTTTACAACATATTGCACTATTTAGTATATTTTATACACTTGTAGATCACATTTCCAAAACAACCTTCGTATCATAAACCAACCATCAACAGGGACCCCAATAAAAATTTCAAAATTCCAGCTCCATTCTTTCACCCTAAACCAAACTCTTCCAAAATTAGTACCATTTCGTATAGTTCGTACACTTAGTACACATTTCCAAAACCAACTTCATATATCAAACATGCTTTCGCACCTTGATTCTCATGCCGAATTTCAAGTTTTTCACATAATACCAAATGGTACCATTTTAGATGTTAAGTACCATTTTCCTTCGCATTTCCAAGAACCCTATCTATCCTGCGTTCCGCCGGTGACTTTTATTTCAAATTTTAGAATTCTGGATTATTTCGTTTGTACAATACAAAGTATAGAGCCCCCATATAATTGTACCTCCATATTTTCGGTATTTTGGTTATTTTAGCAGCATTATTCACCGGAATTGTTTCAAATTTGGTATTTGAAGTTCGTAATGAATACTACAGCCTAAGACAGAAAATTGCCTGTGTGGGTCCACGTCTTCGTATAGCCCCCATACATTCGGTATTTTTAGGATTTTAACAGAATTTTTAACGGATTTAATTTTTTTTGGAAAATTGTCTAATTCTTTCTAAATGGTGAAGGGTATTCAAATTTAGGCCTGTCCGAACTTACAGCTTTTTTACTTGTTTCTATTTAAATTTTGGACCTTTTATGGGGAAAGTAGAATAAAGTGGGGCGAATGCTGTAAATTTTCGTACCTAATCTAACGATAAGCCAAATTTAAGTTATATTAAGATTTTTATAGTTTTATGCATAATTTCAAACTTTCAAACTGGTATGTACCCTAAACCAGAACGAGTGTGTCGATAATGCCCATCCCGAACTTCAGTTTGAAAAAAAAGATTGTGGAATACCAAGATTGGCCGCAATGGGTATTTCCTGCGACAGCTATCGTGTGTAGCAACAAGACAGATGGACGAAGGGATTAATACTTCCAGATCGACTACAAGTATCCTGAAACGGATTTCGTCTAAAGAGACCTAGGGTGTAAGTCAATTTAACGATTGGGTACATTTTTATCGTATCAAATTATATTACCTTTTTCCCATAAGACTGAGGGTAAAAGTTTGAAAGAGAACACTATAAAATTAAACTATGAAATTCTTCCATTTAAGCCTAGAAAATTTTACCGCCCAATTAAATATTTTGATATCCTAAAGTTAATTTTGTAAAATGTTTCTTTTTATTTCAAAAATATTCAATATCACGAAAATCCAGTATTCTATAATTACAATTCCAATTAATTTAGATCCCATTTCCATAGAAATTATGGTATGGCAAGTATGCTGGAACAGCGGCAGGATAGGCGGCATAGGGGGCACTTACAACGGTTGGATAATTTTCAGAATAGGCACCAGCAGATCCGTAGCCACCTCCAGCTCCATAAGCACCGCTTGAAGAACAGGGAGCGGGTGCGAGATTTGGTTGACAACTGAAGAGGTAATTTTTGGGACAGGGTGGAGCAGGTAAGGTAAGACCACCACCGCCGCCGCCACCGAGAGCACCGGCACCGCCGCCACCACCACCACCGCCATAGGCACTAACTTTTGCAGTGGCACAGAGGACAACAGCAAATACCAAAAGAGCAAGGGAAGACTTCATAATGTCCAATTAGATGATGAGGGTGAATTGATGGTGGTTTGGAATATTTAACGTTGCCAATAATACTGAGTACATTGCCATTTCGATTAAAAGTTTTTATAGATGTAAATTGCAAGTGCTTGCACAAAAACAACACAAAGAAATTGTTGTCTTCGGTGTGTGTGTGTGTGTGTGTGTGTGCGCGAAAGTTTGTGAGGGACAACCAATGGATTTAGTTCAGCTATTGTTTCTAGCTTGCATTTTTAGCTCGGTCTCCTTTCTTTTGTTCTATTTTCTTCAGTATTTTTGTATTACAACAAACATGGCTTCCTGTATTAAAGCCTCCATCAATTGCTGTTGGATAAGCGTTATTATCTAGACTATTGAGGTTAAAATGACTGAATTGTTTAGTTAGTCGTTGGCGGCTTCCGTATTGGGTTCAGTGCTTGAACTTTAAGTAGGTTCCACCAATGTCATCGCTTTTTTCAACAAATTTCCTGCAAATTTGGCAAAACTGCGAATTAGGTCAACATTCTGACGCGTTTTTATTGTAATTTCCTCATGTCGGAGGAATTTGGGAATACAAAACACTGGTGGTCTGTTTAATGTCGCATGCGAATGTGTGTGTTTGTGTACGCTGTAATATTGGCAAATGTGGCAAATGCTGAAAAAAATATTTCAACACTTTCACCAAGAACAACAGTAAAGTTCGTATTTGTGGAGGAAATGCAAATTTAACGAAATACAGTTTTCCACACATCATCGACATCAAAAGCTACTACACTTGAAAATAGTACATCTTTATTTAAGATATATTAAAAGTTTTGACCAAATTTGGAATAATTTGCTATTTAAGGATTTAATTGATTATTTATATTAACTTAAGCAAATGTTAGATATTTGAAGTTAAATATTTGAATACATTTGGCAATGTATAACCATGTTTGGAAAGGAGATTTGTTATGGATCCCATTGATTAGTTCGGGTCGATTTGAGTAGTTTTTAATATTTTGCATATATTTTAAAACGGAATTGGCTAGAATATCTTATTGGAATTTCTTCTTGAGTGCGCCAAATCTGTAGAAAACAAATAAGATATTCCGACATATATATAACTTCATAATCTGACCATTTATTTAGGTATCCCCTTTTAAAAAGCGCTCCACATACATAGGCGTTGGACCTATATATTCCATCTTCACACTAGAATTAACGTTAGCATAAATATCGCAATTTGGGAATTATTTCGCATTTTTCTGAGAGTAATGCTTTTATAAACTATGTTTGTTTTTATACCCTCCACCAAAAATAGTATGGAGGGTATATTAAGTTCGTCATTCCGTTTGTCATCGAAATAATCATTTTAGACCCAACAAAGTATATATATTCTTGATCAGCGTAAAATTCTAAGACCCTGTCCGTACGTCTGTCCGTCTGTTGTAATCACGCTACAGTCTAAACGAATTAAGATAGAAAGCTAAAATTTTGCACAGATCTCTCTTTTGTCTGCAGGCAGATCAAGTTCGAAGATGGGCTATATCGGTCCACGATATCGTATAGCCCCCATATAACGGTACCCCCGATATTCGGTATTTTGATGATTTTAGCCACATTTTTCAATGGAATTGTCTGAAAATCCACACAAGTAGTTCCTTGTGGGTACTTTATTCCTCGGCGGAGAATTATCTATATAGGTCCACGATATTCGGTATTTTGATGTGTTTAGCCATATTTTTCAACTGAATGGTCACAAGGGGTTCTTTGTACACAAGGGGTTCTTTGTGAGCACTTTACCCTCTGACAGAGAATTCTCTATATAAGTTAACGATAACGTATAGTTCCCCGCGATATTCGGTATTTTGATTTAGCCACATTTACCAATCGTATTGTCTGAAAATCCACACACGAAGTTCTTTGTGAGCACTTTACCCCTGAAACGGAATTGTCTATATAGGTCCACAATATCGTATATCCCCCATATAACGGTACTCCCCTATATTCGGTATTTTGACGATTTTAGCCACTTTTTACAATGGAATTATCTGAAAATCCACACAAGGAGTTCCTTGTGAGTACTTTACACGCAGACATAGATTTGTCTTTATAGGTCCACAATATCGTATATCCCCCCATATATCGGCACCTTCCTATATTATATATTTAAAAGAATTTTTAATGGATTTTATTTATTTATTTTTTTTTTTTGAAAATTTTCTAATTCGTTCCAAATGGTGTAGGGTATTCAAAGTTCGGCCCGTCGGAACTTACTGCTTTTTTACTTGTTTGAGAGTAATGCGTTTAATGAACTATAATTTTTTTGAGAGGGACCCGATTGGTCTCATATTCACACATTTCAGGTGGAACTTGTTCGTTTTGTGAATTAAAAGAAATACAGGGTGAGATGAAAAAACTGCTCGTCCGACAGCTGTTTAAATTATTCCAGTAACAGTTCATTATATTTTTTACAAGCGTACAAAAGCAGTTTGCTAAGAATTTTCCAGAAACAAAGTTATTCGTGATGGAATTCAAGCGTGGTAGTGTGATTTCTTTATATTTGGCTGGAAAACTGCAAGTGGCTATCGTTAGAGCACTCCACCATTTAAATGTGAATAAATCTTTTGTGTCCCGTACCATCGCTCGTTAGCGTAGCCCGACGTGAGGAAAGTGGACGGAATAAAACAGCAACATCAGCAGAAATGGTTCGAAAAGTAAAGAGCGACTTAATCGAAACCCGCGTCGCAGTGGCCGAAAAATGGCTCGTGAGCTGAACATATCGCAATATTCCATACGGCAAATGTTGAAAAATGAGCTCGGGGTAATGCCATTGAAATTCCAATAAGTACAAGAACCTACATCGTAACAGAAAGAAAGTAGACTCAACAGGGCTTCGCTTGGCCGAAAGTGGTGAACTGCCGAATTTGTTTTTCTCCGATGAGAAAACATTCGTTGTCCAGCAGTTTTAAAACAAAAAAAAAATTATCGTGTTACTTGCTAAAGAGGTCAGCTGAAAATGTATACTTTCGGTTGGCCACCAGCACTCAAGCGCCGGCCATGGTGATGGTGTGGGCCGCCATTACAGCCGATGGTAGCTCTCCGCTCGTATTAATCGAACGTGCCATCAGAATAAATGCCGAATATTATCGCAAAAATATTCTGTCTAGCACGTAAACATTTTGGCCGCACACCTTGGACATTCCAACAGGACTCAGTACCATCACACTCAGCACGCTCCACCCAAGGTGACCAATTCGAACGTGCCAAAGGTGACCAATTCGAACAAATCTAAACTTATTCTAAAATTTGATGCTATTTCCGACATTTTTTGCTCTCATTTAATAAAATGAAAAAAAAAAAAAATAAAATTATGGCGTTTGACTTTGTTGCAGTTTTTTATCTCACCCTGTATTGTTTGAATATTTGCACTTTATGAGAGTTTTAATTGTTCAAAATTTTGAACAATTGTGTATGAGGTACTAGAAGAAGTTATTTTTATTTTGGAAGATCATAAATAAAATAAAATATTGGCCTTTCTGAGCAAGTTATTAGTAAGAATGAATCATTTTTATTAATTTTCTAATTTAACGTAAAACTGATTCAAATATTAAAATATTAAGTTTTTGGATGTGAAATGTGTGAACAATAAAAAACCTTTGCTTTATTAAACGTTAATTTTTCATTATACTCTACACAACACTGTGGTCCGTCTAAATTTGGTACGTCATTATTATCAAACTTTGATCGAGTTCGAAGATGAACAAGATCGGTCCAATCCTTTTGGAGCATCCTCATAAAAGGTCAAAATTGCAACAGACAATGACGTACTTAATTATAAATCTTATAAAATGTGAAATAAATATCTGATTGTCTTCAAATTTCGCAAATATCAATATTTCGACCAACACAAGAGCTTATATGAAGAATGGACCACTGTTTCTCAGGAAGGAACATGAAATATTTCAAGGCCGGTAAAATAATTATAATACCGAATATTGCATGATGTTACAGTTTTCTGTTGTAACAGGTATTACCCATTACGAACTTCAAATACCAAATTTGAAACAATTTCAGTGAAAAATGTGATACAAATCATTATAATACCAAATATCGGGTGGCACATTTATATGGGGACTATATGGACAGTTCTATACAAGGATGTTTACTTTTGGGGACACATTCTGCCAATTAACAGAAAATTCGGTTTGAAATGGTGACAGAAACAACCAAAAGCACCTTAAACATGCCGCTACAGTTATGTGGGGATATAACAAAATTTCTTCGGAATTTAAATATATCTGAGTAAAATACAGGGTTGCCCATATTCGACGGACCCATCCGGCAACGCCATAACTTTTGATAGAGATGTCACATCGCTTAATGACATACCGCGTTTGAAGCGTCAGTGCAAGCAGGTTTTTACCATGAACCAATACACGCCACGCGAGCTCTCTAAAATAGTTGAAATTTACAAGAAGTCAATTGTGAAAACTCAACGTGCTTTTAAAACATTAAAAATGTGAGAAGTGCACCTTCTAAGAACACCATTAAGCGTTTATATGAAAAATTTTCGACTGGTAAGGCTCTTTCTAATCCGAAGAGGCCATATAAAAGTCGACCAAGGCGACCAGTGTTGAGAGGTTGCCAAGAAAATCCCAAAAACGCCGTTCTCAGCAGTTGGGCATGGCTCGGTCCACTTTACAACGGATTATTCGAATTGATTTGCATTTGTTCCCGTACAAAATTCAATTGACGCAAAGAATGTTGCCTGCGGACAAGCCTCGTCGATTGGAATGGGCCCAAAAAAAAACATGGGTCCGTCGAACATGGGCAACCCTGTATCATGAACCTACATAATTTCCCCAGCTAGATTGATTTCCACAGACAGACAGACGGCGAGACATCGCTAAATCGACATAGAATGTCATGCTGATTAAGAATATATATTTTGAAGAGTCTAGAATGGACATAATATATCCTTCATAGTTTGGTGTAGGGTATACAAATCAACTGTAATTAGTTAACCATTTTATTAATTATTTTTATACCCTACACCACAAGGTGGTCAGGGTATTATGTC